CCGTTGCCAGGCGAGGGGGAAGAAGTGTTTTAATTGTTCATTTCTGGAGTAGTTCGTCAATGATCACATTAGAGTCTGTTTCTGTAACTCCTAGCTGACTCAAAACCCTGTAGATCTGAGTATCTTTTATAACTTTAGAAAAAGTAGCCATAACCCAAAGTGATCTTATTTTTCCTTTGGTTTACTTATATAGCACAATTTGACTGGCTAAAAATGTTTGATATTTACACAGAGGAATAATGGTGTAGCCCTCATCGCCTCAGATGTCATACAATGAGCAGCAGATCTGATATACCTCAACTGACTGTTCCCTATGAATAGTTTTGGCATTGGCTGAAAATAGTACTGAGGGTAACTTGCATTGACCATGTGATGACACTTTGAGTTGCAAAATTACTTTCAGATAACTTGCACTGAAAAAGTAAAAATAGCACAGTACATTAGACTCATCTATGTGGAATGTATATATGCAAAAATAGGGCTCCTTAATATTTACAGTTTGTCTAGGCAGAACAACCTGTCATGCTACACTCTTGTTTCACTTTTAGGCAAACAATTTGCACTGATAATGTTGCAGGCTGTGCTATTTTCAAATGTACAGCAAACATTAGAGAAGCATTAATTTAACCATTTTCTTCCTAGCAAATCACGAGACTCTGAAATTTCATTAGGGAGCTTACACAAAGGTGAGAGGTCACAGCTTTAGAAAAAAGTGATTAAAATGTGTCCCAATGTAACAGACTAATTAATCTTCAGATAATAACAGGGTTTTTTTTTTTCCTCTTTTCTCTTTACAGCTGGGAGCGTTCACTCTCCTTCCACAAGTATGGCAACATCTGCACAATATAGACAGCTTATAAATGACTACGGACCCCCATCTCTAGGCTATACACAAGGGATGCAGGTACGGCTCTGCTTGTTGTTTTTCTTTAATCAGATCACTGACCCTACGTTTGCATAGTAGCATGGATTGCAGCCTGTAATCTGAGGTGTTCCTCCCTCCCACCAAGATTTGAAATCAAACCCAAATGGCAGACTGATTCATCGCACATGTCTTGGGATCAAATTAGACTAAGCAGAGTGCTGAGTGAGGTTGGTTACTAATTAACTGTTAGTCCCATCCCATCTGAGTCACAGTGAAATATGTCTTGAGTTATGTTCTGATAGTAAGGGCTCTAGCATATTTTAAAATTATTTGTTAAAAAATTAATATTTCTATACTGTTTTCTTCAGCAAATTTATACTCTAAAACTTAGTCTCCTCAAGTGTATGTCACAGACAGTCCTGCTTCAGGCTGCTTCAGGAATCCGGCAGTAAGCTTTCTGTGAAATGTATTTGACTTAATGGGATTTCCCTTGTGATATGGGCAGTTTTGTTTTATCTGCTTCTCACTTTCTCTGCCAAGCTAACTTCTCCACAAAATATACATCTAAACATTGAAAAAGCAGAAACAGAGTTAAATAAGCAGTTCCCAGTTTGCTGTTCTCGCAGGACTTCTGTTTTACCTAAGGTCCTAGCCTTGCAGCTGCATCCTCCCAGTTGATCCCGATTTTTGAAGGGCATGTAGCATTGTGTCCAACAGCAAAAAAATAAAAACATATTTATATAATGAACCTGAAAAATTATTTTTTTAAAAAGTGGCTTCCAGGGCTATTTCTGGTTGTCCATGAATTTCCAGTTGCTGCTTGTTGTAATTGTTTTGTTTTAGCAGTATTTGATTGAGATTAATGTACTTTCAACTACAGGGTACCAGCAGCAGTCAAGTACCGCAGAGCAAATACGCAGAACTTCTAGCTATCATAGAAGAATTAGGAAAAGAGATTAGACCCACGTATGCTGGGAGTAAAAGTGCGATGGAGAGGCTAAAAAGAGGTAACCTTTAAATTTATTTAAAAAAAAAAAATAATCGTGTTCCATACACTTCATGCACTGACTACTTATATATGGGTTCATGACAACTGTTTCCTTTGAAAGGAGACAGCTGTCTTGGGCTCATTATTAAACTAGGTGTATTAACAAGCAACTGAAACCTTGGGATGCTCTATATTCATGCTGTATTTGATAGATTAAACCAGTGACAAAATGTGATTTGTGCATACAAGAGGAGTTTCAGTTAATAATTCAAACCTTATTTTAGAACTCTTAAGGTGTCTAATGGATATATTCTTTTGAGTGCCTTACTTGCCCCTCCTCTCTGTGGCGTGTTGGGCTGCTGGGGCTCTGTTACCTGTTGTCGAGTGGATGTCATTAAGAGCCCACTAGTAAGGGACATTGAAGCTTTTAGGCCTGGCTGATGAGGTCTCTCTAGCTGTGCTTTGTCAGCTAAAAGGGGTAATAAATGGCCTTTCCTTGCAGTGTAAAAGAAACCCCCACATGCCCCACTGCTGACATCAGCTTGACATTGTCCTCTGCAGGGGACGAGGAGGGATATTTCTGAAGGAACAGTGGGACATTCCACTGCTCCATCTCCTGAAATGACCCTGAAAGGCCATCGACACCAGTTGTGCTGCTGTTCCGTCCTTGCCAGTATAACCTAGTTACCTTTTTCTCCCTTTCCTTGGTCCCTGTGCTGAGTTTGGCCCATGCATTCAACCCTGAATGGGAATGTTATTGTAACAGACTAACTTCACCACGTTGCAAATCCCCCTTTACATTTACCCAAGACTACAAAGCTTTATTTAAGGCTCAACCATTATGGGAGAGTAATATATCTGCCATGACATGCAATAAAATGACTAGTAGCTGTTCTGGGAAAGGATGCAATAAAGTCTGCTGATGAGTGGTAAGTGGAATCTGGCACAGCTAAAATCAATGTTGCTGGAGTCTCTCTTTATTGCATTGCCTGAGTCAGTATTAATAGATCATGAATGGCAGTAGGCTAATGGGGACAACTTGAGAGAGACCGGGAGAGATGCAGATGTTCTCTGAACTGAATGGTCCAGTCAGTGAGGAAAAGTTGTTTTGCTACTTCTTGCAGCGAGTATTTAGTTTGTTGGCTAAGGTAGGTTTAAGATTCAACGCTGCCACTGTGACTTGCCAGTGTTGCGAAGAGTCCCGAATACATACTTTTTGCTGCCATCTTTTGGTCACAAGCATACCTCTCTTTCCATTTTGGGAGTGAGTCTAATGGCTGAAGGAGCACGTGCAAGTGTGAGAGCAGAAGCGATCGAGGGTAACCACATGACTGCAGCCTCCATGCCCATGTGGAGGTTATTCCCTGTCCCCAGCTCCACTGGCTCCTAAGCACAGAGGTTACTGACCTCTAAAATTGGCCAAATTCCCAGTGTTCTACATAATTCAGGGTACTTTTGCTGCATAAACCGGGCATACTGCCACCAGATCCAGGTCTAAGGCACTGCTCCGAGTACGCGTTTCTGCATCCCACAGCTGCAGGATGCAGCTTTGTCAGAGTCAATTTAACCCTCTGCAAAGCCTTGCACCCGTCAGGTCCCACGTCCAGGACTCCTTGGATGTAAAGGCTGTTGCCGTGATGTGGGCTAGCAGCCTTCTACAAACAGAATCCATTATCTCTAAATAGAGATTAAACCTCATCTTTTGCCTTATTGACCATTCTCCACCTTGTTAAGGAGAAATACTGAGCAGAGAAATCGCCTTTTATCTTGTCCTGTCAGTAAAATATAACCTCGTTTGATGTAGAAAATTCTGTCCGTCTCTCAATTTAAAATCTGTCTCAAGCACTGTTCTTTCAGCAAGTCTGTGAACATGAATCTAGATTTAGTTCCAGGATTAAGAATCAAGGTCCAGATTGCTGGAACTCAAGGCAACAGGACTTGTAGTGGAAAATTCCACATTATGTCTATCAGATGAGAGTAGATATGGCAGCATGTAAAGTGGTGATGATTTACACTGGGAGCTGAGCCAGTGTTAGGAGGTAACTTTTTGCACACACCATAAAAAATTCCTTCTTATTCTTACAAGAGACACAACTTGTGTTTAAGCAGTATTATGGAGGCTTGGATTTTGATGCATCCTCTTGGAGAACTGTCCAAAGGTATTAAGACTTTCAGAGCTTGTTAAAATGACTCCCCAAATAACTTCGTATTTATTTTTCACTCTACTGTAGAAAAATAACTCACAGGTAGTTACGATGTTTTTTTTTTTTTCCTTCTGTTAAGCCTCTGATTTTAAATAGGCCTGTACTGCACATTAAGATACACCTGTCACTGCAGACCTACAAATCTTATCATGCTTCGATTTCTGGTTTAGTCCCTGTTCAATTTATAATGCCAGTTTGGGAAAGCAAACTTGTTTAGCGGCAGCTGATGTTTGGGAAGTGAGGGATCTCTCCCTTTTCTGAGGCATGCTGTGGTAGCCTTGGCAACTTGGGACAGAAATACGTAATACCTTTCTCTGGACTGTCATTGCAAGCGTGACCTGAACGAGATGATTTACAGTATGTTCAATTCTTTTGCAGGCATTATTCATGCTAGAGGATTAGTTCGGGAATGCTTGGCTGAGACGGAACGAAATGCAAGATCCTAGCCCACTAATTCAGTTGCAAGATTTTCCATCTCTTAATGAAGAAAGAGTATAACACTTATTCCTTTTGACTCTTTAAACATTCGGACAAATTACTTTATTTTGAATGTTTTACCTTTCTTGGTTTGCCCTTACAAAAATGTATAGTTAAGAATGAGAAAACAAGGATTTTTCAACTTACTGAGGGTTTGCATTTTGTAAAGACGTTAAAACTCCCTAAAATGTTTCTAAAACATGAAAACTGAACTGCATGCAGAGGAATGATCTTTCTCTCCTGGGCTATATTTCAGTTCTTTTCTTATCCAGCCACAGTCTCATCCTGTTTGTTTTTCCTTTGACTATATTCACTTAGCCCCAAACTGTCAATCTTTCAAAGTTTGACATAAGCTCTAAGGATTTTTTTTTAATAAATGCAGAATAGCATGCTGTACCTAGTAGTCTGCTAAGTCACAATTTGTCATACAGCATAGGTCCTGCTTAGAAATAACCTTCCCCCTCTCTTATTTTTCCTTTTTTTGTTCGTTTTGCATAAACATTTGCATGACTGTTAGTGCTTTGAAGTCCATTTAAAGTGCATGAGTTATATGGAAAATAGGGAAACCTATTAAATAATAACAAGGTCCTGGAAAGCTAATTTCTACATTAAGGCTGGAGATTTCAGTTTAAAGTTTGCCCAAAAAAGAAAATTCTGGATAAATTACTAAAACTGTTATTTGCATCTTTGTATGTATTTATTACTTGACGTAATAAAGCTTATTTTCATTAACAGTTTGTATTAAAAGTATGTACAGTCACTTTAATCAAATTTATACTCCATGAACGAGAACTCTCAACAGATAAAAATTTAACCTTCATGCAGGATGCTCAAGTTCAGGAACAAGGGCACAGGCCTGCAGATTGCTGGCAGGTTTCCATCCGTGGCACAGTCTGGATGCAATTGATCTTCCTAAGAAGGTGGCGTAGTTGCTAGTAGTCTCCATTGCTTTCAAAATACATACCATGGCCTTGATTTTGAAGGCCAGAACTTGGTGGCAGCCAGCAAGGGTGCTGTCCAAAAATTAGAGAAGGTCTGGTTAAGCAATTAAGAGTTGTTAAGAGGATTAAAATAGGAAAATAAATTTCACTAGTGGCTTCAAAGTAACAGTATCAAAGGAGATGCAGCTGCATGTATTTGCATAAAATGGGAAACTGTCAAAATGAGTGAAGAAACCAAAATGCCCAAGCTTAACTATAGCATAGCATATAGTTCACTACTGTACAGTCAAATCTAAATCCCAAGGAAAATAGGATATCTTGGATATCTAATACAGAGAGAGCTATGGATACTTGAAGAAAATACAGTATTAAGAGGCAGAGCTAATTACTTCAAAGCTTGGATGAATTGGATTCTGTTTCCCTGGGAGGCAGCTTCCAACACGTGGTGTTCTTTATCTGTAATGACCCAATTTTACCTTTGAACTCAAAGGACGTGACTGACCAGCCCTCTCTTGCAGGAATGCCTTCTACCGCAGTGCTCATCACTGCTCCAGGTAAGATTTGTAAAGCTTCTGTTTAAGCTTCCTTCCAAATTGAGTAGGACAGAGCATTTGTTCAGCTAACATCTGAAGGAGGCAATCAGTGACTGGTGTCTCTTCCATCAGCACATCTGATTAAACCATCAGAACCGGTATCTAAACCTGGTCGCTGTTTATAAAGGATTTATGTCCGTAGAGGCATTGCCTGAGTAAGGATGGCAAGTCACAGCCTTTTAGGGCTGTTCTCTGTATGTAATGAAACTCCTATGAAGCATCATATCAGCTGGGCAGGAGACCTAGTGAATTTTTTTTGTCTCTGTTAACAATGGTAGAAAGGTTACAGTTCCTTTTTAACAAGGATTGGTTTATCATCTTCTGAACTTGACAGAAAAACTGATTGCTAAATGTGATGAATGAGAGGACAGCAAACAGAAGTAGGAATACATGACTGCTTTTATTACTTCAGTTTTACAGTAAGAGCAGGTCACTACTCGGTATTTCAGTTGTGCTTATGAAGTCCTACATCATCTGTAAGTTTGAAAACTGTGTTTAAGTATAATGACAAATGTTTCCCTTACCCTGCTAGGACAAGTCAGTATTTCACGTTTATTTCATATCCAATTGTTGCATTTTTTTAAAATGCTTTTTCCTTTCTAGGTTTTCCTTTGCTTTTCTTTTTTTCTCTTGCTTCTTCTTCTCTGATGCTTTCTTCTCTTTAAAAACATCACTATCTTCACCTTTGTAGAAAAGGTCAACTTTTTCCTGCAGGATTTCTCTGGCTATCTTTCGGTTCTGCTCCACTGATCTTGTTTGATGACACTGAAGAAATACAATAGGATAGTTTTACCAGAACTTTAACCTGTTTATTCTTCTGCTTTCCCTTTCGCTCTACATATTCCTGCCATTACAGTAAAGAAACTTCCCTTCCCACCAAGTCAAGAGCATCCTCCTACCAAGAACTGCTGGAACTTTTGTATCCAGAGGATATATTTTGGAGAGGCTGCCTAATAATTGTTTGCTATTGTAATTTGTCAGACTGGCTTTTGTATTAATCTTTAATGCTTCCATATTACCTTGGAAAGCTTCTTCTGAGTTGAACTTAACTGTGTCTTCCCCTTGTCATAAGGAAGCAAAGATTAATTTCAAAGTATTAATCCACAAAACGAATCTGCAAAGTGAGTACAATCAACTTGTTAAGGAAGGCATTCTAACTCACAAGAGGGATAGGAGTGTGACAGATGCCACTGAAAGTTTTATTAAAAACTACAAAATAGTAGTGCACGTCAAAGCCAGGAAGATAAGCTATGACCCCAAGTTTTTTTTATCTACTGAAAGTCAAAACGCATCTTCCTGAGATTTTTTTTACAATACATAGAAACTTTTCCTCCATGACATTTGCACTGTGATTATGCTTTACTATGAGACTTGGAAGACATGATGCAATTTGTGATTTAACAAATTAAAATATAATTACCTTCACTACAATCCCAGATGGAATATGCTTTAAGACAACACAGTTGTTTGTCTTATTTGTGGCTTGACCTCCTGGGCCATCACCTCTTACAAACTGTTCTTTTAGTTCTGCCTCAGTTAGTCCAAGGAGATTGAAAGAGTTCTTCTTTCCTGCTGCCTGAAGTAAGGGCACTCTGGGCTGATAAAATTGCTGCTTTCTCAAAATCCATGGTCTCCATGATGGTGTTCGTACACCTCTCAGTAAGAATGTAAAATAAAATAAACCTGGAACATTCATACAGAAACGAGGACACAGTTTCTCTGGAACGAAATCAGAAATATAAGTGGGAATGGAGTTTACCATGAGAATCCTTGTTGTAAGATGATCTAGTTTAGCTGCACGTCTTGAGCGATATTTTGATATTCAGATCTATTTTCAAGGATATTTCAACCAGCTTCATAGGCATTTGCCTTGGAATATTTACCATCATGAGTGGAATTTCACTTCTCTTTGACAATTAGGTTTCTTAAAATAGTCAAGATTATTACTTTGTTGTTGAAAGGGATCTGGAGAAGAGTAAATTGTACTCCTACCAATATTTGGAAAATACTACAGACACCAAAAAAAGAGGAAAGAGAGGACATTTCAGTCTTGCAGTCTGACCCGTACAGTTGGACTGGGAAGCCTTTGTGGACACTCCACTCATGCCCAGGTAGTGGCTTGCTGGCAACAGTACCTGCAATTCACATGTTGACACGTGCTTGGACTACATCTAGGGAGCACAGGTGAGGGTGCAGGAATCCTCCTCTGAGGTTGCCTTGAACACTGCTTTAAACTACTTCAAACTACTGAAAGAAACTTGCTGGAAAAAACAGCAAATTTACATAATACAAATGGCCTAATAATGTCTTGGTTTCTCATGTTTGCCAGTGGAAGACTGCAAAGAGGAGGTGGAGGGAAAACAAAACAATCAAAAAAAAAAGAACAAGGCTGTACATAGAACTTTCTGTCCTATGGTATGGTAGGATATGGGTATCAGAAGTCAGATCAGGCAGAACAAGCTCATGTAGTTTCAACAGGTCAGAACGCAAAGACAGATATTTACCTGTGAGAATGATGCATGACTGCTCGGTCAAAACAGCCGTCTAACAGTACACAGCACAACTCTGATATGTGTATTTGCGATTTATGATTTTGAGTTCTGAGACTCCTTTTTAATGCTAGGTTAGTACAGAAGACAAGAGTAATCCTTATCGAAACAGGTTACACAATCTAGACATTTGACCTTGCTCTATTAGAGTGGCTTCCAAATTTTGGGGTCAGGCTCCAGTGTGTATAGAATTTGGTGAGTGGTCTAATACAGCAAATGTGGTAAACTTCATCTCAAATCAGAAGTATTCTTCCAGGTTAATCCTGTCAACAAGCTTACCCATCCTGCTCTACTCATGATGTACTATCAGATGGAGGATGTCTGATGTCTATCAGATGGAGGACGAAGAATCAAGCTGTAACCAGACCACCAGGTTTTCATTTACTACTTCAGATGCTGATTTTTCCCAGGTCAAGTTATTAACAAAGGCAGCAAGCATGCATGGAAGTATGCATTATCCTCATGGATAATGAGGAATGTCTGGTTCTACTGCTGTCAAATGGCCTTCTTCAACAAGGCATTAGGTAAGCAATTAAAACAATACATGCTGCTATGCTTCGAATATTTTGTTTGATTCAGAAAACACTTCAGCATGTGAAGAAGTGGCACTTAACATCAAACATCCATAAAAATTGAACATAATTGTTGAAATAAATCTAAGTTTAAGAAGGCTTGTATTGGCAAGTAAAGATGTCCACTTGGTGGCACTAGAAGGCAGTAACATTTTTTTTTCTTTTGCTGCAAAAAACATGCAGAAAAAATCAGCGGAACTACTACCTAGTTTTGAAGTGAGACTTTACTTAACAGCAGGCTTAATACAGGCACCGCCCGTTTCAAGCAGCCTGTTTTGAAACCAAGACTGACAACTCTGAGCTGCCTGATCTTAATAGATAAGTCAAGGTAAAATATCACGTTCACTGTAAGCCTGTTTCTACCACTCGATACTACAGCTATAAAACAAGAGTAAACCTAGAAGATACTTGAGAGTTTTCTCGAGATTTTACTTAGCACAGAAAGTCTCCAAGAAACATGTGCCTTATAGCGTAAGGAAGATTTTATGACAATAAAAAAAAGCTTTGATTATGAGATTTTTAAGCCTAGACTAGCGAAGAGCTGTGTCAATAACAACGCTAATCTCTCAGTTTTTAAACAGTTACAGAAGCGGCCAGCCGCTTTCGGCCTCACTGGAAGGGCCGCAGGGCACTGGGACACTTCGGCGATGACAGTGCAGCGACAATGCGCCCCCGCACTCCGCACAGCCGAACAAACTGCGTTTTAAAGCAACCGTTTTGCCGAAAAGCTTGCGGAAACAACCGCCATTCGTTGGCCGGTACGCCCAGGAACACAAGCGAGCTTCCAGCGCGGCGGGAAGGGCGGGCAGCGGCCGCCCGAACCCTGCGACTTCGCGGTCACCGCGACGCGACACGACCCCGGCCCTCCCGGGGCTGCCCCCAAAGCTCGGGTCGCCCCGGCCCCGCCGCCATCTCTTACCTGAGGCGACTTGGGGCGAGAGCCACTGCGCAGGCGCGGGCCTGCACGTCTCGCCCCAATGGGTCAGCTGTGCGCATGCGCGGCCCGTGGAGGCCGGGGGTGGGAGGTGTGTGTGCGCGTGTGTTACCGCCACGGATAATTGGCACCTGGGAAGCCAATCGCTGCGCAAGGGGCGGGCCGACGCGCTCCTGCCATCCACCACCAATCAGGCTCTGCGAAGCTGCGCGGCGCGTAGCCGCACTAGCCAATCCCCTCGCGGCGGCCGCGCGTGCCTCTCCGCGTAGCGAATCAGCGCGGAAGGCGCGGCCCGGCGCGCGGTCAAGGCGGCCAATCAGCGAGCCGGGCTCTGCCCTCAGCGCCCTCGACCCCACCGCGTTCGAAACTCGGCCGCCAATCGCCGGGGAGGAGGTGGCAGGGCCGCGCTTGTTTACCGCCCAACGGCCGCGGGCTCTCGGGCCGACGCGGATGCCTCCTCGCGGGCTCCTGGAGATGCGGGTAGGAACCGGGCGGGCCCGCAGCCAGTAGCGCCGCCGCGCTTGGCCGTGTCCCAGTGCCGCGCAAGCCGCCTCCGCCGCACCGCCTCTTTCCCTGACGAGTGGCGGGCCCGCTAGCCAATCCGAGGCGGTGGCGCTGTCAACATCCCCGGAGCGCGAGGGGCAGCTGCCCAATGGGAGAGTGGGGGCGGAGCTTGACCTGAAGAGGGGGCGGTGGGGGCGGAGCCCCCGGAAGGTGGGGGACGCTTGGAAAGGGGGGAGACCCTGAGGGGGACGGAGGTGAGGATAAGGGGTGACTTACGGGAGGCAGGGAGCCTGAGGGCATTGAGTTGGAGGGAGGGGGTCACTTATGAGAGGAGGCTATCCGCGGCGGGGGGAGACAGAGCTGGAGAGGAGGTCACTGCTTGAGAGGAGGCGACCCCGAGGGAGGAGGTCATTTGTGAGGGGAGGGGGGGGCCCTAGAGGGGGCTTAGTTTTTGGGGTGAGGGCGTTCCCTGAGGGCACCGGGTCTTCAGAGCCCCGAGGCTTGTTGTCGTCCCTCCTCACGGTCCCTCAGGAAGTCCTTGGGGAGATGGGGGCCTGGCAGCCAGAGGGGAAGCGGGGACCGAGGTGCCCTGTCGCCCCTTAGTGATCTGTGAGGAGTCAAAAGCTCGGGAAGAGATGCAGAACCATACCATCTTCGGGTCTGTGCTGGCCCGGGTGTTTGCATCTAAATCGGCACTGATACTTATGAATCAAAATACCTTGCAGCTTTTTTTTTTTTTTTTTTTTTTTTTTTTAATCCTACTCCTTTATGCAGGGACTTGGCCGTATAAGGACTGTTCTGTGCTATGGAAACAATAGATGACAGCTTAGCTGTTCCTCAGCCCAGTTATAGCTCACTTAATATTTGTTTTTTATTGGGAGCAGACTTCTAATGAGGTTATGAAACGAGCCTGTGTCACAGTGAAGTCCCACCCATCTGCTGTGCTGCTGAGATAGGCCACCCATGATTTCATCCTGGGGAGACGGGGGTGACTGATGTAGCCCCCACCGTTGCCATCTAGCTGCTCCGGAGACACTTGCAGCTTCTGCTTTATCTGTCAGGTTAGGTGCTGGATAACCTTCAAGTTTTCTAGACTTCTGACCACTAGAAAAAGAAGAAAGGCTTTTTTTTTTTTTTTCCTTTAAATTATTCCAAGAAGCTCTGCCAAAGAGCATGTGTATCTGTGAGAACTTCCTTACAATTCTTGCATTTTCAGGCCTACCCAAAGGAGATAGCTTGAGTGAGTACTTGTAAAACATTTCTGCTCAAGCCAATCAGGCTTCAGTAAAACAGGGAAAAACTGGATGGTTGTCCATCAGTTTCCTTCTGGCAGAAATAATTTTTTATATTTCCAAAACTATCTGTTAGAGATATATCTCTATATGCTTACAAATAATGAAGACTTAAGTCTGTGAAAGCCAGTAGCATGTGCTTGTCTGTAAAGAAGAATGGTTGTGCTTTGAAGGTGGTGTACTTTTTTAAGACAGCAGGGATTGATTTTTAGTTTTATCACGGACTACTAGGATGATATTTCATAACATCTCTTTTTGTTCTCCATCCGTGAAATGATTGTAAGGTTTTTCTTTAGTGCTGGAACATAGGATGAATTCACCAGGGTGTAGAACATGCTGAAATAAGCACTATAGAAGAACTGATTAGTCAATGTATTTCAAGTGTTTTCTTAATGAAAGTATGGAAATTGGAAGAATATTTTAGTCTCTATAGAGCCATTCTTACAAACTGCTGCTTTGAGTTCTGTAAGACCATTGCACAAGTATTTTGTATTTATTTATTTATGATGCTTTCAGTTAACCATCTGCTGTTTTTAACTGGTGTAGGATTCCTGTTTGACTACTTTTTTTTTAATTGGTAAGCAATGTAGCTCAAAACAGTTTCAAAGCTTTTTGAATTAATATGATATAGTAGTAACAAGACAAGCGTTCTATGTAAAAAGCCAAATATTACACACGCAAATGGCAGAACTGGTCAACCTCAGTCTAGCTCAGTGGGTCTTGATTTTATTTTTTGGTGGGTGTGTTTTTTCCAGTGAAGTTGCAGATCACCATTCAGTAGATTTAAATACATTGATAATAGGCCCTTTCACAGAAGTCTCAAAAACTGCGGATCCTCAGATTTACAAAACTGAACAGACAAACCCCAACAGCACTGTTCTACCTGGAATGTTTTTGATTCAGACACCCTTTACAGCCCAGTCTAGCTGTGATGCACAGCTAGGAATCAATTTTTTATAGGAGTCCCAGCAAGTACAAGGCTGACTGACTAACACCTGTTTGCCAGCATAGCAGAGGACAAGGAAGAGAGGTTGGTTTTGGAATGCTAGCACCTTCTGGGGTAGCTTGGCTGAAACAACTGTCTCAAATTCTGTTTCTTCAAGCAACAAAGTCACATGGCTTCTTACAAGAAGAGGGTGATACTTACTTCTTTATCTTTTCAGGGTAACATCATACTTGGGCCTAAGATATGGAAAACTGTGAGGTGGTGAATACTATACAAGAAATCCCTTCATCTTCTGCAGACTCTCATGTCAGAAATACCCACAGTTCTGTCTGTAACTTGAATTGTAACAGGTAATATGTTGAAGGAATTCCTAACAAATATTTTAATTATTTCTGTTTTGCTTAGTTAGTATGCTTTCACATTAACATTGTGCCTAAGGTGAAATAATATGTAATGTTTTTGGAGTATATTTTAGGATGTTTTTACATTTACAGTTATAATCCTTAATGAGAAAAGCCTTACTGAAAGAACTGTTAAGTCTCCCATAAAAACTTAGTAACTTCCATTGCCTTGTGTCTCTTAGAATGGGGGTGGCAGGAAATCTGTCTTGGACAAATTGTAGGAGATCATTCTTTGGAAGGATCCTGCATTCTGCTAGGTCATTTCTAGAGAACAACAGCTTAGAAAAACGGAATTGTTTTCCTGTTCAATGCCCAAGGTATTCCCAGTGAATAAGAAGGGAAAATACAGACTAATGGCCTAAGTGACCAATTAGGAGAGGTTCTACTAAGATGAGAATTACAAGTAATTTACTGCCTGTGTAACTTCTCAAAAGGAGGCAGTAGTCTTGGACTTAAATAAATAATTGTTACACAGAAGCTTGTATTTATAAGCTTCTGAGCTTGGAATCTATGAAGAAGCACACAGGTTTGATGAAAAGCTGTATTTATTGATGTTTGTATTAGTGAGCAGTAAGATCTGTGCTGATTATGCTATCTCTTCTTGGAAAGCTACTGCGTTTTAATAGTATGTAAGATAAGAGTGAAGCATGCTGTGGATTCTTTGACATTTTCTTGAAAAGCATCCTCATTCTTGTGAACTTATCAGGTTTTTTTTCAGCACGATGAGGGTCACAATGTAAAATAAGCGTATAATTGTTTTATGTCTGCATAGCATGTGTAGTATGTTATTTTGGCCACTATACTGGACAAGTGGTACAATAAATAATTCAAATATTTTTCCTCATGTTTCACTAGAAGTCCCTCATCCAACCCTAATGGAGTTTCTGGTTACTCAGGGAATACCAGGTCCTCGTTAATGTCTGGTTCTGTTGAGCTGCTTGCCACCTTTATGCGAGATATCCAGAACATTGGAAATGCTGACTCAGAAATTGTGAAGAACTGTGAGGTATTTGATGTTAATGTTTATTTAAAAAAAACCTGTATTAATGTATCGGCTTTGCATTTTGGAAGACAAATCTAATGATGATACAGTTTAGCAATAAGATCTATATATGTATGTGTTTATTCTTTATGACTGGACAAATCCTTTTACAATGTATGAACTAATCACATGGATGGATTTTTATTGCAATTTTATTTTAGCTTTTTACAATATCATGGCTTTTTATCTTAGTGTTTTACAGTACAGAAGTGAATATGGTTTTTTCAAAGTTATGGTACATAAAGATTGCAAGTTTTTGAATTGAAAAATTTAAACCTGTAAAACTGTGGCACTTCAAACTGGTCTGAAGTGATCCTAGAAATTAGAAGTTTTCTTCCTAAAAATGGCTCTGTTTTACTTCAGTTATTTATTCTATTTGTAAAGATGTGCAGATGATTAGTTTGTTTTCTAATTTAAAACAACACAAAAATCATGATGTAGGTTCAATGAGCTAATTCTCTCAAACCCTTTTTAAAAATGTTGGGTTTGTCCTTTTTAATTTTAAATTTTATCATTATTTTTAGTCTCCATAAGGAACATCAGGTTTCCATACCATGGGTTTGCCTGCAAAATTTTTGAGCTTTCTGGCTGTGGTCCATCAAACTCTCTCTTGACAGATGCTTAATTTGGGTGCTCTTTAACAGTTCCAAGAAAAGAATATAGATGTCTCTGTCTAGGCACATGCATTCTATGTCCCATGTCCTATGCTTCAAGTATCAAGCTCTGTAAACATTAGCATAAAATAG